CATTTTAAATGTGACACTAGTGGAACCCATCCTAAGCATGAGTTTTCCACCATGCATGTCAACCAAGACTTGGGCAGTCGCCAAAAATGGCCAGTTCAAAATACACGTAGCATCGGAGTCATTGGTGTCCATGACAATGAAATCGGTTGTAAATGTGAATGGCCCTACATAAATCGTGATATCCTCCCCCATACCTCTAGGCTGCCGTGATGACTTACCGGCCAGCTGCATAGTCATGCTAATAGTTTCTAGACCACTCACGTGTAGCTTTCTAAAAAGAACGTAAGGCATTAGGTTGATGCTAGCACCGAAATCAACTAGAATTTTAGGGAATTTATACCCTTCAATGTTTCAAGGCAAAGCTAAACGAAGGATATGTCTCCTACTTTTTTTTTTTTTGGATAACACCTCTTTTATGAATATTATATAATGAAGCACTTTAGCTATCGCCTCAATTCACATTGATGTTAATCCTCCCGAGCGAGACTTGCACAATTCCATTCAAAACTTTGTAAACCCTTTTCCAGTGAGAGCTTAGCATTCGTGGGAGAGGGTGCAGCTAAGGAGATACCTTCATCATCAATGGTGCTGCCCTCATTCTCTTCTATGTATAGTTAGTTCGAAATTGATTGTATGAGAATCACAACTCATTTATCTTTGTATGTATTGATGCTATGATTTCATATTATACTTGTGTTGATGCTTGTGATTTTCGATGCCCTATATGTATGCATTGATGTTTATGATTCAATGCCTATGTGTTTGTTATCGATGCTCATTTAGTTCAATGCTTTCTTATTATCGATGCTTATAACTCTATAGTATGCTATTATAGTATTGTGCTTAGTATCATCTAGTTTGCTAAGAAAATACCATCTAGTGATACCCCATTAATCATACACGAGTATGGAGGGATTGATCAACTGTATGTACCTCGAGCAATATGAGTGATTGATTGTTATATCATCAATGCTATAAACAATCGATTATGGCTCAAGAGACCCACACTTAATCATGAGCTATCCTCACTTATCTATTCTTCATTGATTAGGTGATGGCATGAAGCGAAAGCACGGATTAGGTAGTCAAGTTCTTATTGCATGTGGCTAAAGCTCAAGTAGGATGGCTGTAGAAAGATAGAGTGATGCTATAGATGAGTCTTTGATGCATAATATGATTGAGCACTAGTATATGTGACGATACTCGAAGTTTGATTTCTTGTCCAATAACATACCTTTACTTTTATGCATCTATAACTTGAAAAAACATTAAACAACTTTACTTTGTCTTGCTTTGTTTTCTTCTTCTTATTACTTGTATGAAAACCCCTAAATAAGCTTTATATTCCGTGTTGAGCGTGCATAGATGGTATGGTGTGCGTAGTTATGCATTACAAGAACTTTGGAACATGACCGTAGGTTATCATAGGACTTTTATCACTTTTACGTAGCTTGCATTAGCAGGCTATATAGGATAGGAGGTGACACTTGAGTGGCTGATGTCAGACTCACATCCCCAAGATGAAACACGTGGTGAATGAGGGGTATTTGAAAAACAAAAGAGGGGGAAAACTCATCCTTAGTGATGATCCCAGAGTAGGGGTGGGCAACCGATTCGGTAAACCCAACCCGAACCGAATTAAACCGAATCGAAACCAAAATAATGCTATTCAGTTCGGAATTCGGAAACAAAATATGGATATTTCGGAAACTAGTGTTCTTTCAACCGAACCGCATTTCTGAATTTTCGACCGAAAACGGAAATACTATAATTGCAAGCTCCAAATGGTGGATTTTTATGTTTGTAGTTGTTTTTAGACTTAAATATTTGAAATGTTTTATGACTTATGTGTTGAAAAGCTTGATTTTATCATTGATGATGCATATAATTGCATATTTATTGTTTATATTAGGGGTGAAAAATAATTTAAAAGTGAGAAAGTACAAGTAGCCTTACAAATTCGGTTTTGTGTGAAAAACCGAACATAACCGACTTATGATTCGGTTTAAACTGACCAAATCGAATTATAATTCGGTTCGAATGCGGTTGGGGTTTGGGAGAATTAGGAAACCCGATATTCATAATTTCCGTTTGGTCGAAACCGAACTGACCGAATGCCCACCCCTATCCCGGAAGCGTGGTGACTACTTAGCGCCAAAATCATGGAAACTTTTCTGAGTCAAGCTATGTACTATAAGTGGGTACGCGCAATTAAAGACTGAAAGTTCATGAATCATGGCGAAAAGCAAAACATTCTTGAAGGCGTGGAGATAGACTAGGCGTAAAAACAAGACTACAATAGGAGGATACACTATGCTTCATTCGAACGGGGGCAAGGGTACTTCCATGAGCCGCAACCCAAACAAATCGCTCATCACAAGAAAACCGCTTTATAGCTTCTAAAATCACAACTTTTCCTACCTAAGGGACAAATGGTTGGCCTAGTGGCCCAATAGGGTTGACTGTTGAAGATTGCCTTGGAGGCTCCAAGGGACTACGACATTAGAGCCATAAGAGACGCCCATCATAGAACACAACTGGTGGGAAAGACGCTGGACAATAATATGTTAGTATATATTGCCATTTACCGATGTACAGAGATCACATAATCCACATACCTTGATATCTGTTTGTCACAACATTTATTGTCACAAGAGATGCTCCCCGTGAAGTTGACCCATTTAGGAACGCCTGACATCGCATTTAATGACTTCGACGTTGATAAGTCGAATTTAAATACCTCCTTTATAACATTTAATGGTAACTCGACTACTCACTCTCTCACTAAATTCATTTATCTTTCCTATCTACCACTAACTTAATCTTTAAAGAGCGTCCCAACTGTACATGGGCGTTGGGCCGTGCTTGGGCCTGCACGGAACGGGCACGCTTCGGGCCCATTTATTCCGTGTCGTGCTTGGCACGGCCCGTCAGTTTCGTGTCGTGCCATGCAAGCCCATTTGTTAACTTTGCTAGGCCCGGCCAAGGCCCCGGCACGGTTCGAATCGTGTCATGCCTATTCGTGCTCATGCCATGCTCGTATTCGTGTTTAATGAAAAGGATAAAAACAAAAGAGAGAATGAAAAAGAAGGTGAAAATTGGACGGAGAAAGATAGTATTAACCGATAATGTTTGAGAAAGTAACAAATAAGGGGGAAAATAAAATTGGAAGCATAGCGAGTGATTTGGTTTTGTTTAATTCTTTGTCTATTTTTACTTATGTTAGTAATTACGTATATATCTTTACGACACTTCTAACAACAACAAATAATTATTTTTCTACTTGTGCTTTGTAATATTTGAACCTATAATTCTTTTTATATTTATTTTCTTGCCATGTCCGTTCTTATAGTCAATAAAGTCTCGAAAATATTAGGCCCGACACGACCCATAAATTATTCGTGCTCGTGCCGGGCTGACCCATTTATTTCGTGCCCGTGCTCGTGCTCGTGCCCGTGCCGTGCTCGCCGGTGGGCGACACGGCCCGGTGCCCACGTACAGTCCCAACTCCCAAGTTACCACCTAATGACTTGCACAAATGAAGGAATGCTTCGGACCCGACGAGTTAGGGAACGGATCAGGTGAGTAACCTTATGGTGAGTAACCATGAGTAACCCGTCCACATCAGCATGACATTAGCATTCCTCTCTCTCGTGGAAAGTCTTAATTTTCCCTCATTAATCTTTGACGGACGATTTCTCACTCGTTTTAAGTCAAAATTTAATTTTTTTTGCACAGTTAGATAAGATTAGTTGTGCTCTTCAAAATGATATCCACCTTGATATATTTTTTGAACAAAAGAAATTGAGCCATTTTTTACCAGTCTATACTCTATATCATATGGTATTGACTAGTATTGAAATAAGAGCATACCTATGGTTTGAAAAGTGTACCATGGTGGTATGAACAAACCAAGACTGTAGGATGGTTGAATATATGATAGTAGAAGTATATTAACTGTCATTTACGACTTTTAACATTGTGTACCACAAGATACCACCCCGTACCAGGGTGGATTGTGCGGTATTTTTTGGTCATGTAATTTGTTCACCCAGAAATTTGTAGATCCAATTGATTATGATGAACTCGTTCCTTCTGTGCAAACGTTTTCAAAAACGAATTAAAAACGAAGAAGGTACCATATGGTATGCAGTTGGTACAGAGAGGCAAGGATTTTTATTTTCTAAAAAAATATTGAAATTGTATCTCATTTTATAGATCACAACGAACTCATTCCATCTGTGCAAAAAAAAAAAAAAATCCGAGTTAAAACGAAGAAGATATGAGCCGATTAAGAAAACTAGAGAAAATAAAATTGGTTTTTAATTCTCCATCTTTAAATCTGGATTTTCTAAATGAAATGTATCGATTTAGTTATTGATGGATGCACAACCCATGATTATACACTCTATCTTGAACCGACGAGTCAGTGACGATGTCACGTGGCTCATATCTAGGCTCAAACAACTCGTTTCATACTTTCATTGGACTCCGAGAACGTTGATTTAGGGTTAAAAAGGAAAAGAAAAGAGGATATAGTTGGTACTAGGGGTGTCAATTCGGGTTCTGTTTTTCGGGTTTACCCAAAACCGACCCGATTATATACATTTTTGGTTTTTCGGGTTCGGGTTCGTTTTCGGTTTTGGGTTTTTCGGTTTCGGGTTCGGTTTTGCTTATTGGTTTTTCAGGTCTGGCTAAAAACCTTCAATGAATAGAACTCAGCCCGTATTTTTAGGCGTTCGAATTTTCGGGTTTCGATTTTGCTTTAACCGAACCCGAACCCGATAAGGAATTTTCGGGTTTCGGGTAACCGGAACCCGCAAATTCTTATCGGGTTCGGGTTCGGTTTTAGTAATTTTCGATTTTGGATTTTCGAGTTTTGGTTTGGGTAACCGAACCCGACCCGAACTGACACCCCTAGTTGGTACTTGGTAGTGATCGCATGAGCCGGATTAGTGAACGGCCCAAAAATAAGGCCCAGCGGTTGCGAAGGCCTTGCGGGTCATGAGAGTTGGTCGAGTTAGGGTTTGGGTTTCCTGTGTTCCTCGTTTTATGAGACTCTACTCTTCAAACGCCAAAACCTAAGCGAGCAGCGGCCGCCTTCGTTCTCCATCTTCCTGCCCTCTTCTGCATCAGCTAGCCTCCGTCGATATGGTACGTCGCTTCACTGCGCCTATCCAGTATGGTGCATTTGTTTCATTTTCAGTTTGCTGGGTTCGACGAGTCAGAATCGCTGTGGAGATCTCCTCAATTCTGGCTTTTCTCTATTATATTCAGAATTTTCTTTAAGTTAACTGTTATGACATGCTTCCTTCCTTTCCTTGTTTTTGAAGGCCCCGAAAAGAGGTGCTAAACCCGTGGCAGCTGCAAAGAAGAAATCTGTAAGCAATCTCTCCCACTTATTCGAGTTTCTGAACTTATCATACCTTGTAGTATTGTTGAGTTATATTGGTTGGTTATATTGGTTACTGCTCCAAAGGTTATAGTAGGCTCTATTCATTGATCTCATTGTGATTCTGTGATGCTCCATTCATCTCCTGTCTTCTGTCATCATTAATAACCGCTGAGAAGCATTTAGTTAAGGCAATCCCATTGCGAAGGAGTTGGCTAATGATGCTATGGAACATTGCTTTATAAGTTTTAGTGAAATCTCAGTCATGAATATTGATTGCAGGATAAGGTTGTGAATCCGTTGTTCGAGAAACGTCCGAAGCAATTTGGAATTGGTGGTGCACTCCCTCCTAAGAGAGATTTGACGAGGTTTGTCAAGTGGCCTCATGTTGTTCGTATTCAAAGGCAGAGAAGGATATTGAGGCAGCGATTGAAGGTTCCTCCTGCTGTAAACCAGTTCACAAAAGCACTTGACAAGAACCTAGGTAAGTTTCAAAGATATTATTTTTTCCTTTGGATATGTCTAACTATGGGTTGTTAACGTACTTTTTTTTTTTTTGTTATCTAATGCTCCAGCCACCCAGCTATTCAAGCTTTTGCTGAAGTATCGCCCAGAGGACAAAGCTGCTAAGAAGGAAAGGCTTATTAGCAAAGCACAAGCTGAAGCAGAGGGAAAGTCTGTGGAGTCCAAGAAGCCCATAGTTGTTAAGTATGGACTTAATCATGTGACTTACCTTATCGAGCAGGTAGTCTTGATATTCTCAAGTTGGTGCCCCATTTCCATATTTTCCCACCGCTTTGTCATTTTTCTAATTTAAAGAAATTCTGGTGTGCTAAACCTCAATTGTGATACTACTCTATTTATGTAGAACAAGGCCCAACTGGTGGTTATTGCTCACGATGTTGATCCGATTGAGCTGGTTGTCTGGTTGCCTGCACTCTGTCGGAAGATGGAGGTTCCATATGCTATTGTGAAGGGAAAGTCGAGACTTGGAGCGGTAATCTCTTGGTTCTTTCATTCTGAGTTGGAAAGCAACCTGCAAAATCCTTTTTTCGAGCCATTTCTAATGGCAATGAATTGCAGATTGTCCACAAGAAGACAGCTGCAGCTTTGTGCCTTACATCTGTGAAGAATGAGGACAAAATGGAGTTCAGCAAGATTTTGGAGGCAGTGAAGGTAGTGTATTGACTTTAATGACAAGTGATCAGTGTAGTGATCTTAAGTCTTAACCGTTACTTTGCTAAATGTGTTGCAGGCTAACTTCAACGACAAGTTTGATGAGCACAGGAAGAAATGGGGTGGTGGGATAATGGGATCCAAATCTCAGGCCAAGACCAAAGCCAAGGAGAGACTCTTGGCTAAGGAGGCTGCGCAAAGAATGTCTTAAATTGAGCTTGATTTATAGATCCTTGCAAATTTTGATGATGTTAGCCGTTCCCCTAAATTTGTTTCTACTGAACGACTAGCCGTGTGATTTTCTGTGTTCGCCATGAGTCTGAGGATATGGACGTAGCATCTTTTTTAGTATGGTGTTTTAATGGTTTTGGTTCGTTGCCCAATAGTCAGTATTGAGTTCTGTTTTCAGAACCAGATTGGGTAGATCACAGAGTCTGATCGATCCTCCAAGTTGTCTCGAAGGATTCCTCCTGCTGCAGCTTGGAAGTTGTCGTCTCTTTCGCGTAGCATGAGATGAACAATGTTAAGGTTTAGGACAAGAAGTATGGACTGGTATGCAGTCTTGCACACAAACAGTTCAAAATCAATGCAGATCCATGGATGGGGGGAAGACAGTTACTGCCTTGCAACTTGTTTCTTCGGAAGAGAGGAGATGAGATACAAGTGTTGTTTGATTGACGCAGCTAGCTGATTATGCAGAAGGCAGCCGTTGTTTACAATCAAAAGACCGAAACAAAAAAGCAATACAGAAACACAGAAAAAGTAAAGCAAGCTATCTTCGCTTCTTCAGTTGGGGGCTATGGAGTATGAACAAATATAAATAGTACGTTACAAACAACACATTCAATCAAGTCGCCCCCAATGATATTACATGTCACACTCACGAAAGTATAAATTGCTGACCACAAACACAGAATTCAATGAATCAATTGAATAGAAAGCACAGATCAAATCTGTTTTTAATAAGCAAAGTATCAAGATTCAAGACCCGACTCTCCTGGCGCAGCTCTTGGGCGAGTGAGCGACGTGGAAATTAGGCTGAGAAGTTGCATCATCCAGTGGCTGATTATCAGTTACCGAACAAAATCCCATTTCTACTGCACAAGTGCTGTTTTAGCCTTCTTCAAGGGCGTCCTGCTCGCCTTCTGATGACCCGTTGTTGCGGCTTTGCTTGGAGTGCGTCTTGGAACTGCTACAACTTTCTTCTGTGAAGACAGTGTATGCTGCCTATTTGGAGTGGGAGTAGATATTCCTTTTGGATTCCTTAAGCCAGAAGCTTCATTTTGCTAGGGAAAAACACATACATGGGTTGCATATTTATTTCACATTTGCAACTACGCAAATTGTACGCATGAATGAATGGATCAGTAAGGTGAAAGAAAGTACTGGGACTTACAGGTTGTTCCTTCTGTGGCCTGCTGTTTATCTCCTCAGTTTCATTGCCTTCATGTGTATTACTACCAAGTTCAGTTTGTTCAAGGTTCTTCTCATTTCTCTGAAACTTGTGGTACCAACGGGAAAACATCAGTGAAATCCACTGAATTATTCTGAGATACCGGAAGGATAACGCAAGATCACACTCACTTGGAGAACATGTTGATGTCTTCTTTGTGGGACAGTTGTAAGTTCTTTAAGTGTAGGATGGAGCTTCTTCTCCAGGTTTGCTTCCTTAAGAATCCCTCTTTCCTGCAGTCCAAGCAAAGGCAAAAGACATCAGAAGCCACATTCAAAGAAAACTTCCACCCTCGCACAATTGCTGGCAAAAATACAGGTCACTCACATCAGTTCTTAAGCGAAACGGCTTGGGATGTGTAGGTTTTGGTTTTCGATGATTTAGACTTCGAGCTACCACAGCAGCAGGAGCCACAGAGCTCTCTTTCAAAGGTTTAGCCATTATTCTCCGTGTCTGCATAATTTCCCAGAGAGGGTAGCAAGTAAGTGAGAATAGACTCGCAAAGTTACCATCCCCGCACAAATGTCAAAGTTACCTTTCTGCCGTTCAAATTGTTCTGGTTTTCAAGAGCATTCTTGCCACGACGGTCTGCATTGTGATCCAAACGCCTGCAGCCAGAAAGTACTTGTAAGGTAAGGTTGAATATACCATAACCAAAGCATACAAATGTGGCAAACTTCATACCTATTCTCATCAGACGCTGAAACATTTTCTTTATCACCTTCTGCTGCTACTTCGAAGTGGTTTTCTCCACCACTGGAAGCTGAAGTTATAGCCCCCTGATCCGTCATCTTGATTTCCTCAAACCCCTCTTCCATAACAGCGTCCAACACATTCTCTTGTCCACTTGCACGGCTCTCGTTGGCATTCATCCCCTGAGGGCCATTTCTGCATTTCTCCTCAGTGTCTAGTTCATTGGAAGAATCATCTTGAACCCCTTTACAAGCTGCATGATCATAGTCGGGCTGCAGCATCATCGAACTTGTTTCCAAGTTCTTTCCCTCCAAGCACTTGGACGATTTAGCTTGTTTGGCTACTTTAGTTGGAGTATGGAGGAGTCCATCATAAACCCGGCTTTTAACCTCCCGTCCCCTTGGTTGTTTTCTCTTAGCATCTGATACTGCTGTTGTGCTCCTCATCATTTGCTTATTCCCACTTGTAATCTCCAGCTTTTTCATGCCGGAACACAAGGTCTTCATACTGTCTATTCCTTCAGATGGGGTTTTTATTCTTACTTGCTTCTTAGGCGAATGAAATACCAAAGTCCTGGCTGTTCCCATCTTCTTTGGCAATCCTACAAGAGCTGTTGATTTCGGGGCCCTAACGCTCCTAAATACAGCAGCGGGTTCTGACACTGCCGGCTTTTTGTTTCTTGGAGTTGTTAGAGCCTTGGCCATGTTAGAAGATTGCTTTGCCATTGCTTTTGGAGTTGTTGCAGTTTGCTTCTGGAGCGGCTTGAGTTTCGCTTTGTTGTCGACCAGTTTCTTAGATATTGAAGAAATCAAAGCAAGCCTCGGCCCTCTAGGCCTGGAAGGCTTGGCTGGTACTGTCTGTGGGCATTTCAGATTGTGGCTGCCATGCCAACACAAAATAACCATAATCTTTCTCTTAGTAAGAAGGCCAGCAAAAGGAGAAATAAAGAAAAAGGTACTGCAATATTTGTGCATACCTTTTCTCCTTGTTACACAGTGCTTTTCGAAGCTTCACGTTGGGACTTCTTGCAGCCATGACCTACAGGAGATTTTCAAACAACTTCAGGTGTGAAGTTTGAATGTAACAGCAAGTAGCAAACCCACGACCTACATATCAACTTACTCTAAGAACGAAATTTTTGTAGATTGCTTCGGAGTCCATTTCTTCTTCGTGCTTTTGGTCACAACCTACAAGTTCAGCAGGCCAAATATTTTCCGCAATTAGCATGGGACAACCCTAGAGACATTTAAGTTTATCAACTGAATGCTAGAAGCCAAAAAGCGACATAAGGATGTAGCTATTCATTCTTTCAAAAAGATAAGAGAAGCATCAGTTCTGTAAGTTCTTTATCCCCTTGGGATCAAAATAAACCCAACGATTGCGAAATTCACAGAGAAAAAAAAGCAACCTTTATGAGCAGCAACCCATGGCTAAGTTCTAAATCAAACTACCCAGAAGAAGTTTTGAGTATAGCATTTACGTTCCTTTATCTTCTCCACATTTTCAGCCAACAACCACACCCTAAAAGCCGAGATAGACAAGAGGGCCAGAGCCCTAATTGAACTCTAGAACCCTGTCATCCCAAAATGCACAGCAAGGTGCCGAAATAAGAGGCAGAAATGATCCCAATCCGGTGAAAATCAAAGCATATTCAGAGTAGAAAGTGTTCAGACTCTCAATGTATAACTGAAGCAAATGAACGCTGGAAACCCCGGAAGGGGGAAAAGGGCAACTGAAAGATTTTGGCAGGAGAAGACAGAAATTGGCCATCGAAACCGAGTACTCACCAACCCGGAGGCAGAACCAGTAGCGATCTTCGCTAGAGCGGCGGGGATCGGGCTTAGTGAGGTCGACATACTTGGGCGCTGAGATCTGTTCGTAGAAGTCCTCTTCTTCTACTTCTGGGTACTCGCCCTGGTGCGGAAAAACGGGAGAAAGTGATGCCAACTCGTCTGCCATTGTCTACCGTGACAGAGAAGGAGCGTAATGGCTGGCTGGTTATCGACCTCTTTTTTGCGGTAGTTTGACTGTGCTTTGGGTCTAGATCGTTAATTTCGAGAGACGGACAGTGGGAGTGAGTTATTTTAAAAAAGCAATGTCAGACTTGGAACTAGCCGTTAGAGAAAGCCGTTTCGTTTCGGACATGCTATATCGTCAATATAAAAAGAAAGGCCCCTCCTTGCAAAAGGGAATCTGGTTAATAAAAATACCAAACCGGTTTAAGTTGATAAGCCGATCACTAAGTAGTCTGAAATTTGATGGTCCAACCAGAATTCAATCGGTTTAAGCTTGGTTTGAACAGGATATGTAGGAGCCAAATGTGGGATTTTTTTTCCAATATATATACTATTCTTTCACAAGGACCGTTCAAATTCAGATTTTCTTTATTTTATTTCTGTTAAACCGTTTAAAAAACTGATCGAATTATTCGAGCGGCTCAAACGATTAATCGTTTCGACAACTTACCGACCGACCTTTCTAACCATTGTGGTTTTTGAACAGGTCCGACCCGAACTGGTGGTTGGGTGCCAGTTTTACCAATCCGACTGACCGGCTCAGGTAGGCTTTAATACAGTGTCCATGAAACCGTACCGTACCGGTGGTTAAACCACGAAATACCAGTATTGGAGGCTAAACCGATAGGCGGTATTTACCGGTATAATGGTTGAACTACGGTTAAACCATGGTTTTACCATAAAATACTCTACCGCTGACTTTCCCGGTACGGTCTCCGGTACGGTTTTATGGACCATTCTTTAATAACACTTCAAAAACTAAAAAATTCCATCCATACCACCCTTTCACAAGGACCGCATCCCCACGACGGTTTACAAAAGGACCACCAGGCGGTGTTGGGTTTTCATTTTGTGAAAAAACCGATAGGGGGGTCCTACGACTCTCTGGCTGACCTAGAAATAAGGATGACAAAAATATCCGTAACCGTGGATATCCGCCCGAATCCGACCTAATTGGGTAGGGTAATACGCAAAACCGAAGAACTTTTAGTGGGAATGGATAATACCCGACCCCGATAATTGCGGGAATGGATGGGTATGGTTTTCTCACTATCCAACCCGAACCTGCCCGATTACACTCATGCATATGTATTTAACTATTTGGTCTAGAAATAATCATTATTTTTCCCGAACATATTTCATATTTAGCATATAAATATAACATTTTCATGAAATTGTCTTGTTTTAATTAATTTTCTTCGTTCTAGTGAATTATTGTCATACTTTTCCTCTTATATAATGTGAGAATACTTGTGAATGTTAACATATTAGTTGGAGTTATTAAGAGAAATTAGTATCCATGGATAACCGCGGATACCCGAAACCCGAACGGGTATGGACATGATTTTGATTTTCTACCCGTTTCTCATGTGGGTATGGGTAAAACCCGAATTACTTTGGGTAGGGTAACGGATATACACTATCCGCTCCCGACCCGACCCGTTGGCATCCCTACCTAGAAAGAACCGCGGGACCCTCTTGAGGTTCTAATTAAAAAAAAAATCACTGCAACTTCAAACGAACGCAGCTTTGTGCTCGGTTATCCGATCGTAGCGAATTTTTTTGATTATGCACAATTTTTTGAGATCTTGCAAATCCACAATACTTATGCGAAATAAAATTTATTTTGTGAGGTTCGGATTGGGGAGCATAAAGTTATGATCGTCCAAATTTTTCCGAATAACAACGAATTATTAGGATGAAGGCGATGGTTTGCGGGTTGCAAGATGTCGAAAAGTTATGCAGAATCAATTTTTTTGTTAACATTGGATAACCGAGCAAAAAGTTACATTCGTTTGAAGTTTTAGCATATGTAAGACATTCATCGGAAAAAAACTTATGGGCAATGATATTCGGCTTTAATATATCGGATTCTTGGACTTTATGTGATTATCCGTGGTATGTTTTAGCCAATTGGTGCTATTTTAGGGCTCGCTAACCCGAGAATGGTTGAAAAACCATTACTGCCTAGTGCCATGAGTTTGATGTATTACAGGTGAAGAAAACACGAAAAAGAAGTTGCACCGGCAAACAATTCTCGAATGCTGGGCTTAAAGCCCAGCTGAAAGGGGATTAATGACATGGGCCAGGGGGATTGGCGGAACCCGAAAGGAAGAAGAATTGGGCCGGCCAAAAATTGGGAAGCAATTAAAGGGAGCAATTTTTGTGGGCGGCCATTTGACTGTGGTCCAGAAAAATCCAGAAGGAAGAAAGAAAAGGAAGTGGGCCAAAGCCCAAAGGGATGGGCGGCTGAATTAAGAGGCAAGAGGAGAAAAAAGAAAGTTGGGGGAACGGAAACTCGGGAGAAAAGAAAGAGGGCAGCAGCTTGGTGACGGAGGGAACAGAATTTTAAGGAGGCGGCCATTATTCTTGGAAGAGGGCGAATTCTCAGGAGCAAGAGCAGCGAGCAGCAGTGCGATTGGCAATTGACGATCAATTTTCCAGCGGCTAGAGCTGAGTTCAACGAGAGCGATTAGTTGGTTTGATTTTCTAAACTGAATTAGTTGTTTCTTGTTGATTTAGAACATGATGAACAAAACCCTATCGATTTATCTTAATTTCGTCATGAACTAAACCCCAAATTCTGGGGGAAACACCATAGGATGTAGCTATTTCTTGATTTGATGGATTGATTTATGATTCTTTTCTTCCAATCTCTATTGCATGAAATTGCTTAATGCCTTGTGTTGACTGGCCACCAATACAATGAATCGTAGTTGATTAGGTTATTAGCGACAGTGAAACCCTATTAACTGAACCTATTTCATGCGACATAGTAACTTATCGAAGCGACAGTGGATTAAATAAGGTGCTATGCGGTCTTAAATAGGATATCGATCTTCAGGCTAGATAGTTAATTCATTGAGCTACGACAGTAGGATTTGAATTGATTATTTAGTACGTAGTAATTCCCGACAGGGATAGCTAGCACATTCGTGATATCTTGGCTGTAGAGAATTGGATTAAATTGATTGGAATATGTGAATTAATCTGGATAGGATAGGTAGTGAATCCCGGTGTTTCTCCCAGAGCTTCTCCCATTGAATTTCTCCCGACAAGTTTACTTTGCTTAATTAGTTTAATTATTTTGCTTTTAGAAATTAGTTTATATCTCAAACCATTTTCACTTATAGTTTGCTCATAAATTTGATAGAATATAAGGTTGTACCAGTCCCTGAGAGACGATACCCGGACTTTCCGGTTTACTACGAGATAGGAATTGAAGCTATACGCTTTTGCCCTATCAAGTTTTTGGCGCCGTTGCCGGGGACTGCCATACCTTATTTTTGTTGATTTTTGTGAGTGAACTGTTTTGATCTGGGTGTTAGTGTGCAGGTGAATTTTTCAGGTTAATCCTCCTCGTGCATGCCAAGGAGGACGACTGGCAATTTACTGCCACTAGATCCCGAGATCGAGAGGACCTGCCGACAGAACAGGAAGCAGGTCAAGTTAGGGAAGCAGCCTACCACATCCACAACTCCTAGGCCTTCCCTAGCTCAGAATCGTCAACCGAGAAGGCAGGTGACACCACCTGTCATCCCTACACCACCTACACCACCGCCGCGCGTCATCGAGCCTGTCATCATGGCTGAACAAGATCGTTCGATCAGGGCTCGTCTGAATCGGAGGACTGGAGCCCGAGCTTCATGTGTTGTCATTCCGGCTGGGGATGCAAACATGGAGATTGCCCCAGCCTTCATCAATATGATCACGAATGGGTACACCTTCTCTGGGGCCAGCACCGAGGATCCTCATGAACATCTCCGCCGGTTTGCAAACATTTGTGACACTATGAAGAGCCCGGCTGTGTCTGATGATGCCATCCGTCTTCGGATGTTCTCGTTTTCTCTGCTAGGAAATGCATCCCACTGGTTCCAGAACTTGACACCCCGTTCCATCACAACATGGGGTCAGCTTGAGAAGACCTTTTTGGATAAGTACTTTCCTCCTGCCAAGGCAATGAAGAGGCAAGAGGAAATAGTCACTTTTAAACAAGCTGAAGATGAAAGTCTGACCGAGGCATGGGAGCGCTATAAGGAGCTTCTAATGAGATGCCCGAGCCACGGTCTCGAAGATTGGAATGTGATCTCCATCTTCTTCAACGGGATCAGAAGACAGTACCGAGATGCTCTGAATAATGCTTCCCGGAATGGTTTCACAAGAATGGAAGCACCAGAAGCATATGAACTAGTGGAGAAGATATGCTCTGAAGATACTGAATGGGGTAGTGAGACCGGCATTCGAAGGAGAGGAGGCTTGCATGAGATAGACAGAGTTGCAAGCTTAGAAGCAAAGATTGATGCTAAGCTGGACTCCAAGTTCGATGCACTCGAACGAAGGCTGGCTAAGTTGGCTCTTGGTAGACAGGAGGAGGTTGCTTATTGCGAGTTATGTGAAGGTGCTCATCATAGGGATCTATGTCCACTGGTTGCTGATCAGGTGGAAGATGTGCACTATATCAACAATCAGAGAAATCAAGGCCAGGGTGGTATGTATTCGAATACCTACAACCCACAATGGAGGAAGCATCCTAACTTTTCCTGGGCGAACAACAACCCAAATGGTGCTCGCAACATTCCACCTCCAGGCATGCAGAAACAACAACCTCCACCTCCACCAGAGAAGAAACCACAACTTGAAGAATTGCTTCTGGCTCACATGCAGAAAACCGACAATAATCTGAAGGGCCTGGATCAGTTTGTCACTCAACAGCTAGCCATCAACAATAATTTACAATCTTCTATGCTAGCTATGGAGAGGCAGATGGGGCAGATGGCTCAAACTCTGGCGGATATGCAAGGCAGGATTCCTGGGACATTACCGGCTAATACCGAGAGGAATCCAAAAGATGCTAAAGTTGTGGCAGTGACATTGAGGAGTGGTAAGGCCTTGGAAGACCCTAGCAGCTCGAAAAAGGCACCAGAGGCAGAAGAGGAAGCACAGGGAGAAAGATCTTGTGCAGAAAATGAAGAATCAGCCTTGCACAGGCAAAATGAAAGCGGTTTGCCTGTGCAAAAGCATGCTGCCCGTGTACCTCAAAAAGAGGAAAAAGCGAAGAGGGAGGAGCTAAAACCTTATGATCCACCCGCACCATTCCCTCAAAGGTTGATGAAGCCCCTGGAGGACCCGAACTTCAAAAAAATTTGTGAATCTCTTCAAGCAATTGCACATCAACATTCCGCTAGCTGAAGCTCTTGAGCAAATGCCCACATATGCCAAATTTCTTAAGGAATTGTTGACAAAGAAGAGAAAGTGGACTGATTTGGAGAAAGTAACACTCACACCAGAGTGTAGTGCTGT